CTTATCAAACATCCTTAAACGTAATGTAAACTTTAGTTCATCATTAATTAAAGTGTTATAAATGACTTGTAGCTGAACATTATTATCAGGTGTTACACTTGTAAGCAATAAGGTTTAAAAACAATAATCATAAGCTGTGTGTTTAATGTAGCTTTCTGCGTGGTCAAAGATCTGGTCGTTAATGTTGCAGCCAGACAGAAAGATTCACAATTTCAAATAACAACACTATCACAAGACGTTAATTATGAGACTGCATCCTTAATCTCCCCTTGTCTGCCGCTTGGCAACAGCCATATTTCATTCACATCATTATACTGAGCTTGGAAATGCTCAAACATTGACCTAATAAACACTCAACTGGTGGCAAAAATATACTCTCACTGGTCACTTCATTAGGTACATCCTTCTAGTATTGCTTTAGACCACCTTTGGCCTTCAGAACTGTCTTAATTGGTTGAAGCACACCCAATGGCCAGGTTGCTTCAAGCTCATAGGAAGGCAACAGTAAGCTGCTGTGCTGAACAGCATCTCTGAATGCTGAACCGTGGAGAATATGGGCTACAGCTGATCTCCTGTTCCACTACATCCCAAAGGTTCTCTATTGGATTGTGATCTAGTGACTGTGGAGGACATTTGAGAACAGTGAACACATTGTCTTTCAAGAAACCAGTTTGGTTTGAGCTTTGTGACGTGGTGTGTCAGCCATCTTCAGATGGTTACACTGTGCTCATAAATGGTCATTAACAATACTCAGGTAAGCTGTGGCATTTAAATGATACTCAGATGGTAGTAAAGGGCCCGTGATGTGGCAAGAAAATATCCCCTACACCATTACACTACCACCAGCAGTTTAAATTATTAATGGAAGGCAGGATCCATACTGAATGTTGCAGACTCATTTGAGCCGGCGGTATTTTTCCAGACTTCTGCTGTCCAGTTTTGGTGAGCATGTGTGAACTGTAGCCTTTCTTGTTCTTAGCTGACAGGACTGGTACCCGTTCTTCTGCTGCTGGAGCCAATCTTCTCCACAGTTCAGCATTCAGAGATGCTGTTCAGCACAGCAACTTACTGTTGCCTTCCTATCAGCTTGAAGCAATCTGGCCATTCTCCTCTCAACTCTGGGATAAACGAGGCATTTTAACTGAGAAATGCCACTCACTGGATATGCTCTCCTGGTTGTGTAATGCAATGGTTTATACGGATGCCTAACAAGAAAAAGATTCCCAGTTTAATTAGACAAGGAAATACAAATCCCTTTGGAGGTGCGTCAGGAAGAGTAAAGATCTGCCAAATCAAAACATCCGAAGCTACCCACTGTGGCTCTCTCCTGTGACAAAGGGAGCAGCTGAAAGTAGCTTTCACCATAAACCCTAGAGATGGTTGTAGGGAGAAATCCTGGTTGCAGTTTCTGAAGCAACCATGCCACTTTTAAAGTCACTTCATTCACCTTTCTTCCTCGTTTTGTGGGCTCAGACTGAACTTCAGCAGGTTGCCTCTACGTAAATTGATCGAGTTGCTCTCAAGTGATAGACTGCTTTGCATTAGTCTAATCAGGTATTTGTACCTAATAAAGTGGCCAGTTAGCATAATAATTCTATGTTGTTGTTAATAGAATCCTACAGATTGAGTTAAAGGTCAACGTCAGTCTTAAATAAATTGAAATGGTAAATTTTGTCCTAATATGACCCAGCAATGCATCCATACCACTGGAGAAGTTTGCATATTCTAAACAGTAAAGTTAATTCGTCTGTTTGTTAAAAACCTCCACTTTCCTTTTCTCTTATTATGAAAAACATGAGAAAGTTAGTAATGATAATGTGTATAAAAACCTGAATATCATAAAACAGCATGGAAGAAGAAGAAAAACAAGATAAGGGCAGAAAATCAACACTTCCCTAACAAAAGACATCAGTCGAAGACAAATCTGTGCTGCCTGTCTGATAAGTTCAAAACAAAAGCTAATAAAGTTAAGCTGTAATTCTCAATAATTTTCCTGAAAGAAACCAGTCACATGTTTTCAACTCAGCCCACAAAGAGCTGCAGGTAGTCATTTTAAGTACTTTTACACAGCAGGTACTCTTATACATGCCGGGCTCGTGCAGGGCATCATCACTGTGTTCAGTGATGGCATGTTTGTGTAAATGTAACACTACATGCAGGCTACAAATCTGCAGAAGCAAGTAAGTAGATTAAAATGTTGTAGTTTTAGAAGGTGATTCGTGTATTAATCCGTCTCACTACTGTACACTATGGGGTTAGTGCATCTTTTTTGCCACATCACAATTGATCGTTATCATATTTTTGAAGCGCTCAGTTCGCACATCGGGACAGATAACAACAGGACTGTGAGGGTGTCACTCTGTACTCGTTGTGTCCCCTCGACACCTTCTACATGCATCCGCACTGCATGAACTCACATTTTTCTCGTTATTTTGTGATAAGCTGGGACGGAGCCAATTAAGGTGTGTAAAAATGAGTATTTAAACGGCTCTTTTGTTTGTGTGCTGGACAAT